CCCCCAAACCCCCCTAACCCCCCCCCATCACCCCAAACCCCGCGGGGTGACACCCCCAGGCCACGGGAATTCCTCCTCGATTTCCCAATCCAGTCAGTTTTTTCCCTGGAGCAGGGGGGGAGGCACCAGTTTGGGGGGCTGAGGAGGGGCCACGTGTGAGGCTGGGGGGGCTCCATCCCACTCCACTGCTTTCAGCAGATCCATAAATCCTCCTTTGCCGGGCGCATCCCTAATTCCCCAATTACCCGCCCGCTAATTCCCTCCGTATCCCAAAACCGGCGGATAATGTTTGTGCACTTCCATTCCCGAACCCCGGGCAGAGGGGGAAGGGCAAATCCATCACCGGGAGCCAAAAATAGGTCTCAGAGCAGGGGGAGGAATCAAAAAATTCGGGATTGGTGAGCCAGGGAACGGCTGCGGCGGGAGCAGCTGCGGCAGCGCCGGGAATGCCGAGCACTGGGAACGGGCACCTCCGGCTGCTCTGGGAATGGGCAGGAGGATGGGGGGGAAGGGCTGGTGGCCCTGGTGGCCCAGGGGCCCCTGACACTCCCCATTCCAGCTGCATTCCCACTCCCCATTCCAGCTGCATTCCCGCTCCCCATTCCAGCTGTATCCCACCCCCATTCCAGCTGTATCCCACCCCCATTCCAGCTGTATTCCCACTCTCCATTCCAGCTATATTCCCACCCCCATTCCAGCTGTATTCCCACTCCCATTCCAGCTGTATCCCATTCCCCATCCCAATCACATCCCACTCCCTATCCCAGTTGCATCCTGGAAAGGAGATAGGGAAGTGTCCCCCTGCCCCCCTCCCTGGGCCACTGGAGAGCCTGGATGCTCTGGAGATGTCCCAGCATTCCCACACACAAAATTCTGCTACTTCCAAGTACCAAAACACCCTCCCCAAGCTGGAAATCCTGGGAAAACCCCGAATTCTTCCCAGGCTTAGAGCTTTTAAGGCTCAGAATTCCCACAGAGACTTATCCTGGTACCCTGGGAGGTGTTCTGGGAGCACTGGGATGGAACCAGACCCCTTCCCACTGCTGGAAGGAGGGCGAGGAAGAGGGAAACAGGGATAACAGCTTAAAGAAGGAATTCCAGCCTGGGAATTCCATATCCCCCCCTCCAGCCCTGCTCCCTGCCCCTCATCTGGGCCAGGGAGTGGGATGCATCCTCCATTCCCACCTCAAAGCAAAGCTCTGGAAGTGGAGCCAGAGCCATTGGGCAGAGGGAAGGTGGATCCCCCATCAATCCCAGATCAAGGACCGGGAATATGGTGGGGAAAATCTCCTTAGGCCAAAAGATTCCAATCAAAGCAAAAAATGGCAATTTTGAAGCTTCTCCCAGAACTCATTTCCCAGTTTTTCCACCCAGAATCTCACAGGAAGTTCCGGAGGGGTGTTGGAATTCCCACACCGCAGCCTCTGCCAGCGCCCGGCACGGATTGGGATCAGGATCTGCAGTGTCAAACCCACCCCCTTCCCAAAATTCACTGTTTGGGCCAAATCAGCCCCAAACTGCAGCATCCGGCCCTGCTGCCCCAGGGAAGGAATCTGCCCGATCCTGCCTGGAATTATACCAGGAATTAGAGCGCAGGGCATTCCCGAAATTTGGGTTTAACGATTTTTAGGAGCTTTTTCTTCCAAGGATTTGTGGGATTTGCATCTCAACAGCTTCAACGCAGAGCTGTGGGAAGCTGCGGGATTCTGTGGGATGCTGAGGGATGCCATGGAATGCTGTGGAATTCTGGGGATGCTGTGGAATGCTGTGGGATGCTGCAGGATGCCGTGGAATGCTGTGGAATTCTGGGGATGCTGTGGAATGCTGTGGGATGCTGNGGAATGCTGTGGAATTCTGGGGATGCTGTGGAATGCTGTGGGATGCTGCAGGATGCTGTGGAATGCTGTGGAATTCTGGGGATGCTGTCCCAGCAGCTCCTCCCTCCTCCCCTGGCCCCGTTGGCCGTGGAACCATTTCCCTGTCCCGACATCCCAGCTCTGAGCCCACTCCTGCCCTCACCAGAGCCCCGGGAATGCAGGGCTGGGAGTTTGGGAAGCACTGACCCAGCCCAGCGGGATGGGCGGGGATGGGAGAACCGGAGCATTCCCGGGGCAGGGATCAGGCCAGAAACATCGAGGAGATGGAAAGGAGAAGCGGAATGGAGGGATACAGGGATCCAGGCAGGGATCCAGGCAGGAATATGAGCAGGGGTCCAGGCAGGGATACAGCAGGAATACAGTCAGGGATGCAGGTAGGATACAGGCAGGGATATGGATAGGGAACTAGGCAGGAACATGGGCAGGGATCCAGACGGGGATCCAGGCAGGGATGTAGGCAGGAATATGGGCAGGGATCCAGGGAAGAATCCAGGCAGGGATCCAGAAGGGATACAGGCAGGGATACAGACAGGGAAATGGGCAGGGATACAGACAGAAATCTGGGCAGGGATCCAGGCAGGGATGCGGGCAGGGATATGGACAAGGATCCAGGCAGGGATATGGATGAGGATCCAGGCAGGGATATGGACAAGGATCCAGGCAGGGATATGGATGAGGATCCAGGCAGGGATATGGACAAGGATCCAGGCAGGGATATGG